GAGAGTGAATGAATAGTGGCATTGTAAAGCGCTTTGGGTGCCTTGAAAACCGCTATATAAATCCAATCCATTATTATCATTATTATTATTACATAAAAAACAGCTGCTTGTTTAAGTGAAAATATGTTGATGGGTTTTTTTTTTTTGCACTAATAAAGTTGTGGAGTTGTAAAGTATTTTGTCTAGTGTCAATTATATCGTCAGTTATATCGTTATCGCAAATTTTCAAATGTATATCGTGATAAATATTTTTGCCCTGCTCTAATTTAAAAATCCAATTAGGATTTAATGAATAGATATTGCATTATTCAAACTATAATTGATTTGAATCAGAGAAATCAATTGTTTAAACCCACCCCTAATATCAACAATATAGAGCTGGTACTCTTATACACTCACTGGCCACTTTATGTCTGCTCAACAATGCAAACAAAGTAGATAAATTTAATAGGCTAATCACATGGAACCAACTCAGTGCATTTTGTCATGTAGAATTGGTTAAGTTTTATATTATACATGACATGGTTGTTGGTGCCAGGCACGCTGGTTTGATTTTCTTGGGATGCTCAGCACATCAAACCTTGAAGCAGATGGACTACAGCAAAAGAAGACCATACAGGGTGTCACTAAAGTCTGCTAAGAACAGGAAAATGAGGCAACAATTCACACCAAACCGTTGCCTTGGCAGACAAAAGATTGAAAATATGTTTTCTGGTCTGACGAGTCGCTACTTCTGTTGTGATATTTGAACGGTCAGAGACTGGTGGAAGCAGCATGAAGTGCTGGATCCATCCTGCCTTGTATCAATGGTTCACGGTTTGATGGTCAATAATCCAGGTAAGGAAATCCCATAAGGTTTATTGAGTTCATCTGTACATAAAATTTTTAAGTGGGAAAAGCATGGATGAGAAATTAAACTATTCACCCACTGAAAATGCTGCATCCAAATAAACTGAATCAACCTTTAAACAACATGGTGTACTTGAGTAATGTCCAGCCCTTTAAAAACCACAGTTTTCCAACAGGGTAACACCATGTCACATGTCAGCTCAAATCACCACTACACAAAATATTCCCTCTAATATATCCTTTTGTATATTAGAAGTGTGTTGTAAAGGAGAATGCATTTTTAAGTAACATATGCTCCATGCAGGTGTTAGAAAATGTCCAGCTAGATTTTGAGATGCCCTACATGAAAAGGAAATATTTACCTTTCACAAAGCATAGCATGTATACTTATGCGGTCATGCAAGAAATGTTTACATTATTCTTATTTTTCAGAAATAGATATGATATTCTCGGGCCAGATGACTCACTAATTTTAGTTAATATAAAATTGAAAAGTATCATTTAAAAAAGTGATTTTATGATGAGGAAAATGCATGCCAAAAAGTGATGATAATCTTAATAGTCTCACTTATTTGTTATGGAGAGCTTTGCAGCTGGTTTCCCTCTATTCACCTTGGAAGTAAAATAATGTTAATATGTGTCAACAAGATCTTTAATCTAATACCAGACCACGTTTCTACATGTAAATATTTTCTGAATTTTAAAAAAGGCAAACACCACTGTAATTCTGCGCGAAAAAGCAATGAAAAGTTTGAACTAAATACACATTTGTTTGTTGGACCATTAGGAACCGCGAGAAAACTCGAACAAAACAGCGAATTGCTCTGTAGTTTAGATATTTGTTAAGCGTATTACCCAAGTTACGTTAGCCTCAATGGAAACCACTGAGAGACTGATCTATTCAATATCACAGACCCGTGACTTTACTATCTGTCAATATTTGCTGCTAAACGTTTATGTTAGCTTTCGCTCCAGCAAATAGCCAGAGCCCAGACACAGCTTACAGCCTCGGTCTGAGCATACCCCGGTTATTAATCTCCAGGGTTTTTCTTACCACCAATTCTTACTTAATTTAAATACAAACGCACACCAATGCTGTTAAACGAAATAGGTAAAAGACTTATCAGTAAAAACAAATTGTATGTGAACTTACTTCGGCATGTTTCACAGCAACCTCCACCAGAAAGCGCGACGCCGGTGCTCCCAATAAGCGTTCCGACAAGATATGGAGACCTACACAAATTTAGTTCCGCCTAAAATCGTGTTATGGAAAATTACATGGTTTTCTTTCTTCTGTTGGTATTTAGTTGTTATCACAGCCATTGCTTAAGTCAGAAATTAGCATGTATGTGGCATGTATTGGCTTTAACTTGTTAACCCAGTTTCTAAAACCATATATTAGATTTAGTAGTTTGTTAACTGCAAATGACATGAATTGAATTTTGTTTGTGTTGTTTGTGCTTTTTCTTTAGTTAATGATGAACTCACAAGTTAGTTGTGATTTAAATACAGTAGATGAAAAGTACAATAATAATAATAATAATAATAATAATAATAATAATAATAATAATAAGTACAATAATACATTTTTGACATTTAGTGATTTCCATTACTATTAAGCAGTACATACTACCCCTGCGTGTAAATGACGTAATTACATTCGTAATTACAACCAAAATCAGCTACTTTCAAACAAACAAACTAATTACATTTTTTAAACCCACCATATCATTTGTACCAATAATAAAACAATTATATTTTGCAATCCAGTTAAAAAAAGAAGGTGGTGCAGATAAAGGGCACCATTTACATGTATGTTGTAGATTCAGTGTTGTTCAAAACAAAAACATAAAGACCCCAACATAAATAAAATAAATGTGTTAATTTCTCCCAAGACACTGGACAGGAAATGTTGTCAAAAGCACTATATTCATATAACCCCCTATATTGATAATGAACAACGCAAGTTTTTTAAAACTTTGTATTCATTTACCATTTATAAAATTGAAAAATAGGGATTTTGAAGCATGACATTGATACATAAAATATGATTATGTGAATAGATAAAAGATTAGGTACATGAGGTATATTGTTAAACTGTGAAAATTTGATATATGTAAATGATATATACAGATCGTTATTGATTTATATATTTCTTTCCTGTATGTTGAATTTTGCTTTCAAGCATAATCACTTCATAGAAAGGTTAAGGAAAAGTACATCTTTAAAAAAGTGAGTTTTGATAATTCTGAAAAAGTTTTATATGTGTAATTAATATATTCAGTGCTGTTTTCATGTACATCAGTAGTCATACTGTCCATATTTTACACTGAACAGATAGATGGGAAACAGATTTCATTGATACACCAATGAAAAGGTGGCTACAAATAGCAACAGATGACGTCGACGCCCACCAGGCGATTGGCGGAGGGCTACGAGCGCGCTGTTGCAACGTCAAACATCGTCCCCCTAGTTGTGCCATGCGCATTAACGGTTGTTGTTGTTGAACTGGTTGTTATGGCTGAACAAGGCCTCGGACTCAATTGAGAGAGGACCCCCGTACCACCCCCGTCTCCGCCACGGGACACCTGGCACCTATGGAGGGCACGGACATGGACGTGGACGCGGAGCTCATGCAGAAGTTCAGCTGCATGGGCACCACGGACAAGGACGTCCTCATTTCGGAGTTTCAGAGGCTGCTGGGCTTTCAGCTCAACCCTGCCGGCTGCGCCTTCTTCCTGGACATGACCAACTGGTGAGTGCGGGGATTGGAGGGCCCGCTGTGGGGAGGACAGGAGTATGACGCTAACCTAGCTTTATAATTAGCTTGTTAGCCTACATAGATAAAAACTGTACAAAATAGAGCGCTATGGAGGTGATGTTGAACCCTGAAGGGAATCATATCACCATTCCCATTCTATGGGATGGCTGTTAACTCCAAGCTATCATCACTGGCAAACGGAAGTGAAACGGTAAAGTTTGCCGTGACCGCAGAGGAAACAGTAAGGTGAAGTCACTGAGGAACCAAATAGCTAGCAGGCTAATTTAAGCACAGGGAACTCTCGCTCCCGGATCGTCAGCCATGTTACATAACAGCGCACAGAGCCAGTTAAACCGTGCTCATCGGGAAGCCAAAACTCAAGGCAGCGTCGCTCACTTCACGTTATTCTGATGACGTAACCAGTCGTGATCTATCAGCGGCCGACAACAAGTGGTCTTGATCACAACGCCTTTGTGCTCCTGGCCAGCTATGCTCACGTTCTTTAGTTTGTCAGCGATTGATGCCCTTGATTGGATCAATTTTGAAAGATAAAACTTGTTTTCACGTAGCTTCTGTATAGGGGAATGGAGCTTAGGAGGTCATAATGGAAAGAAGGCATCATTGCACGGAAGTTGTTTGAATCTGTCCCCTGAATCCAAGATTTGGAAGTTCTAAGTAAACATGAATTTATGGCTAGTATATGAGCAATGGCTCAGAGGTAGCAACCCACTAAGCCAGGCAGCATTATTTCTCTCTTACTGGCAAAGCTAAACTAAGAGAAGTGCCACTAAGATGTAGGACTGTACAACTTTGTTTTTACTTCTTTTTGTTGTGTATTTTTCACACTTGCATGCTTCAGATCAGCAAAAAAATGTGAGTAGACAAAGATAATCTGAGTTAATACAAAATACAGTTTTTATATGACTGTTTAATTAAGGGGGAAAAAGTTATCCAAAGCTATCTGAGACAAACCTAATAACTAGTTTTGCCACCCTTGGCAGTAAGAACTACAATCAAGAGTCTGTAGTAACTGGCAATGAGTCTTTTACACAGCTGTGGAGGAATTATGGCCCACTCTTTAATTCAGCCACATTAGAAGCTTTTTGATCATGAGCAGGCTGTTTAAGGTTATGCCAAAGCATCTTAATCCGATTTAAATTCAGACTTTAACTAAGCCACTCCAAAACATTTGTTTTCTTTTTATCTTATTTATTTTGATCTTTCTGATATTTTGTTGTTGTCCTGCTGCATAACCCGAGTGTGCTTCTGCTTCAGGACAAAAAACCGATGGCTTCAGGTTTTTCTATTATAGATTAGAATTCACGATTCCATCAATAATGGCAAGTCGTCCAGCTCCTGAAGCAGCAAAGCAGCCCAAGGCCATTATACTACCGCCACCATGATTGACTATTGGTGTGATGTTATTTTTTATCAAATATTGTGTTAGTGTATGCCAGATATAAACTTTCCAAAAAACTGACTGAATAAACTGAACCAGTCTCATCATTCCACTGAATAGTTTCTGTTTTGGGGATCATCATGCATTTGGCAAGCCTTTGTGGGGATTTTTTGGTAGCTCAGTAGGTAGAGCAGGTCATCTAATAATTGGAAAGTTGGTGGTTTGGTCCCTGGCTGCTCCAGTCTGCATGCCAGATATCTGTGGGCAAGATACTAACTATGCATACTAGAGTATGAATGTGTGTAAAATTTAGATAGAAAGCACTTAAGCATAGAAAAATGAATAGGAGTGTGTGAATGAGGCATGTTATACAAAGCGTTTTGTGCTCTGGAAGAGTAGAAAAGTGCCATATAAGAATCCATTTTTGGTCAGAAGTGTTTTTGCCCAGTCTCTTTTTTGTTACACTCTGACATTACGTGAGCCAAGTGTGGCCTGCAGTTCCTTAGATGATGTTCTGGGTCCTTTTGCAACCTCCAGGATGAGTCGTGAATGTGTTCTTGGAGGAATTTTAGTTTGGATAGCCCCCCCCCCCCAAAATAAATGAAATCATCATTTAAAATGTATTTGTTCTTTTTGACTAATTAAAATTTGTTTGATCTGAAAACATGTAAGTGTAATATCCAAAACGTAAGAAATCAGAAGAGGCAGATACTTTTTAACAGTACTGTACTCAGAAGGTGCATGTTGAAGTAGTCAAATATGTTATGAGGACAAGCTGACCTGGTAAATATGTTACAAATAATGCTAATTGTAAAAGTAGGGCAGCCTTTGCAAAGACAAACAAAAACACTAGGACAGATTTGACTTTATACTTCAGCACTATGATTTCAAGATTAATAACCAGGATCGATAGGTATTGCTGATGTGTATTAACTCTATGCTCCTTCTTTTGCATTGGAACAGGAATCTGCAGGCTGCTATTGGTGCATATTATGACTTTGAAAGTCCCAATGTCAACACCCCATCTATGTCCTTTGTTGAGGATGTGACAATTGGGGAAGGAGAGTCTGTCCCTCCAGATACGCTGTTCACTAAGACCTGGAGGATACAAAACACAGGTATATGGGCTTTACATTTACACCTTCACATTGTATACATGTAGATAGTCTTTATAAATCTGTAACATGTTCATGGATTTTGTTGAGATGTATTTTGAATGAATTCTTCTTGGTGTCTTGTAGGTGCCGAGTCGTGGCCACCGGGCGTTTGTCTCAAGTACATTGGAGGCGATCAGTTTGGGCATGTAAACACAGTTATGGTGAAGTCACTAGATCCCCAGGAAATATCAGATGTGAGTGTGCAGATGCGAAGTCCCACAACTCCTGGCATGTACCAGGGCCAGTGGAGGATGTGTACTGCCACTGGATTATTTTATGGAGGTAAGAACCACTACTGCTTTGATTAACTATCAAGTACATTTATGAGACCTATGACTAATAATAGTAAATAATAATTTCAGTTCATACTAAGCCAAGATAATTAATCAGATTTAAATCTCATTTACAATTTTCAGTTCCTGTGATGATTAAAAACAACATTATAATATAACTGTTAGTATTTTGCTTTCATGTTCAGACCAAAGGTCTTGTTTAGGTACTCTGTATTACATTAGGCTCCCCTTTTCTTCATAGCTGTGTTCTTTGCTCATCCTAATAACTTAAAGTCAGTCGCTTTTTACTGCAGCTTCAGAAAAGATCATTAAGAGACGTCAATCTAGAGGAAGTAAGACTCAAGTTTTTGTGGTCAAAAACTGCAGGATTATCAGTTGTGTGTGGCTCCCTGTTTCTGCAGATCCGACGGTCTTTCACTCAGCCCACTTTCAACAGTGTGCGACAATTTGCTGTCGGCTTTGTTTTTTTTCTCGCCTCTGTGACTGCTGTGCAGGTCTCTGAGCCACGTGAGCTCACTGTCACTCTGTGCCTTCTTGGCCTCCATCTGTGCCGGCAGACTTCCCACAGCGGAGGCAGGTTGGCAGAAACCAATAGCTACCGGAGACTGGCTTTACAAAAATTGCCCCCTGGTCAAGGCCTAACACTGTTCCTCACCCCCCATGATTATGACTTTTGCCATAATTGAACTGCCTTAGTTTATACTTCAGTTTCTCATAAAATAAGACGAACAACAAAATTTCATCAGACTGTCAGGCTTTAACCAGACACCAGACAATGTTGAGGATGCCCGTGGTTTAAGCCTTCATTTGAGACTTGTAACAAACCTACTTCATATTGTTGTCTCAGGCATGTAGGCATGTAGCTCTGGCTGTGAGCACAGAGGTCCCACCCGCTATCTCAGTCTTTTGTTTTAGAGGGACAGACAATCAGAAGAAAGCTGGTTTAAAGGGAAGGGGGAAGGGAGTGAAATCTGCATGTTTCTGACAGAAGGTCACCTGGGGGGCTCCACAAATGCCCAGCAGGGAATCAACATCACCCTCAGCTGTAGATAATCACACCTCAGCCTGTGAAACCTTTTCACAGCAGTCCCTTATCTCCTTCCTCATCATGCACTCCTGTGCTTACATCTACCTCTCCCTTGTTGTTGTTATCAGAATCAGAAAACTTTATTAATCCCTAAGGAAATTATGCAATTATGTCAGCACCATTAGTTACATTGCTGGTAACAGTGTTAGTTAGCTTTGACAGGTTCATTGTTTTCCCTTTTTCCTTGTTCTTTTGGAAGAGGTCACGATACAAAGTGGAAGAGAATAGTTTCAGTAATTATTTTCTAAAAGCTTCAAAACAGCAATGCAGTGCATGCTTTAGGGGATATCCTCCAAAAACCAAAGGTTCACCAGCTGTAAAGCATGCAAAAATGCTCTAAAAGAGTACAGAAATCTATATAAAGAGTTGGAAAAGAGCAGAAAAGTTACCTGTTAAAAACCTAATTTTAGTTTACAAACTAAACCGCATACTCTTTTTTGGGGGGGGGGTTTGGCACCAACACATGGCAACAAATTCCTGTTTGTGTACAAGCTTGGTAATAAAAGCAATTGTGATTCTACATATTCTCTTAATGGCAATTTAACACTAAGAAAGTTGTCAAACTGGCAAAACATTTGAGTCTTACACAGTCAGGTCACTTTTGTGCTCGTTTGTTATCTCCACAGATGTAATATGGGTGATTCTTAGTGTAGAAGTTGGAGGTCTTCTTGGAGTGACCCAGCAGCTATCTTCCTTCGAGACAGAATTCAACACTCAGCCCCAGCGCAATGTGCAGGGAGACTTCAACCCTTTTGCCTCACCACAGAAGAACAAGCATGATGCCACTGACAACAGCTTCAGAGATCCAGGTGGAGCCTGGGAACGCACGCAAGAGCCAATCCAGCAAGATCAGAATGGACTGTCTCATAATGCTGTAAATAGGGCGTCAAATGGTCTCCAAACTAATCTTTCTGTGGTAACTTATGGACAGGTATGTATATGTAAAAATGAACTCATCACAGATCTACTCTCATCTTTAAACCTACATCACTACATTCACTCCTTTATACTTTTAAGTACCATATGCAAGTTTTTGTAAAAGCTACATTCTCTGTTCTACAGGTGATGGGCAGCAGATGAGCAGTTGTTTTGACTTGTACAAAATGTTTAAATATTGAGCTTTATGCAGTTCTATGGCTCTATAGGGTGTAGCTTACAAAGTGTTCGACATTGCCAGACTGTCTTTGCATCTGTGTGTTTCACATAAACCTCAAACCCCTGACAGGTACAACAGTGGCAGTTATCAGCTTTCTTTGTTAACACATGTTTGGATTCTGCCTGTGCTCACTAGAGATTATAACAAAGAATATAATGGAAAAATGCAACACTGGCGTTGCAAATAAGAGAGCAGTGCTGGCAAGAAAAAGATTAATCTCTGGAATTTGTAAGCTATTATTTATTTTACCACTCGTGTACCCTCCATGTTGCTGTTTATTTATAAAGTGACAGCTGCACATTAGAGATCTTAAACTTGATCCATTTAAACAAAGCACTAAGTAACCTTTACGTGCTGTCCCACCAAGAAGGAGATGTGGAAATCATATCAGTGCTGAATTGTGAGACTGAAACCTTCTTTCAGCAATGCTACGTGGGTTTTTTATTCTTTATACAAAAAAGCGATAATGGTCATTATTTCTCTGTAAAATTAAATTCTATTACATTATCACTTAACCTGTGAAGCTGGTCCCAAGTATCAGATGTCTTTTTTTCCTCTCTCTCTTTTTATGGGCTTGAATGTGATAATTGCGTTTATCATTTTCTTCCTCTTGGGACTACATATATTTGCACACATTTTAACACAAATTTAATATATTCAATTCACCTACATATACGTCCTACTGACTAAAATGTTGCGAAAGGAAAGTTCACATGAGTAATTAGATGATTAGATATCTTTACTCGGGGGATTGTGGTTAGACACTAACCGTCTTTTTGGCAGTCTGCTCTGCAGCTGTCGGCATATCAAGTTGTGGACAGTTAGACGAGCCTCAGGGTTTAAAACTTTATTCTAATTAGTTGTAACTTGAGATGGATTACTTAAAACAGAAAAGAATTCCTGTGACTTAATCCATTTTAGTTTTACAGTACAGTTTGGCGAAGCATATTGCGCAATCGTCTGGTTTCTAGGAGTCAGTGGGGATATTTTTTTGTCCTGTTATATAGAAGTGATTATAACTCTAAAATCTTGGTTTAATGTTGGCATTTGATAATGTGCATCGCAGTTTCTATGTTAAACACTTTAGTCCAGAGTGAAATATTTTGACAGTCATGAGAAAAACAAATTATGTTCGAGTTCTATTTTGAACACTGTAGATGAAGAAAAAATTCAGTACTTTGATGACAGCTGAAATGCTGTGATACTAACACACAAAACAATAATGTTATTAAGCACAGCTTGAGCTATGATGATGCAGAACAAAGTTTGAATATTAAAAAAAAAAGTTATAATTTTACAGACAAAGCAGGGGTTTTTTTGTGTGTGTGTGTGTGTGTGTTTTGGCGGTAGCTACATTCAAATCAGCGGTTGGTCTGCAAATGGTTAAAACCAAAACCTTTTTCCTTTTTTTTTTTTTTTTTTTTGAGTCTGAGTTTGAGTAAATAAACCTCACTTAAATATATATATTTTAATTACAGTGGAAGGCCTGAACATTCCAAAGGAATGAAAAGCCCCACTTTTTCAACTGGGAATGCTATAGAGTTTTACTTTTGGCCAGGTTTTGTATTTTCTTGCAGTGTTGGTGGTAAGTATCAGAGAAAAGCAAAGCCAGGTCCTCATTTCTTGTTAAGTTCTTACTTTTATTCTTAATTACTGTAATTGCAATTCTAGTGTGGCCAAACATCCTGTTAAAATCAGAGATGATATGCATTGTTGCCAACATGTAAGTATTGCTACAGTTTGGCTAACAGGTAATTATTTGTGACACGTGTAAACCTCTATGTTACAGCGTTGTTAAACTCCCTCAGTGGTCTTTGTTGAAGAAAAAAATCACAGTTAAATCTTTTAGATGAGACCTTTTTTTTCTATGGTATTATCTCCTCAAATGCTGTATGGACTGAACCACCTACACATTACACCTGGAGGAGCTGATCGTCCATGCCACGAAGCTCCATGCACGCAGTTATTATGCTGATGTTTATGCCAGTGGAAGTTTTGGCGTCTGCACTTTCTGGGTCAGCAGAGAGCTGGCGACTTTTATGCACATGGCTGATGCGCTGTGGTTCCGCAATGCTTCCACTTTCCACTTAAAGCCAATCGTGGACTATCTAGGAGGGAAGAAATTTGCATGAGCCGACTTGTTGCAGTGGTGGCATCCTGTTACAGTACCACACTCTTTAGAACAACCCATTATTTTATAAATGCTTGTAAAGGCACACTGAATGGCTACGTCCATCATCTTATACACCTGTAGAAATGCAAATATCCGAATTCAAAGGTTAAGAGGTGTGATCCAGTACTTTTCATAGGCAAAGCTTTGTTCACAGTTTGACCTCTCAACCTTTTCAGGGTTTGTTACACTGGAATGATTAGAGTCAATTAGCTGTGTGAATCTTTTGTGGCTTTTTAAGCGATGCATTAATTCGAAAGAAGACTGCCTGGGCGGTTTGGTTTTGTCACCTTTTATTACTGCCCTGAAACTGAAGATAAACACAGACATGGTGGAGCTTACGCTTTTCTTTCCCCTTTGTGTTGTAATAGAAACTAAACCAAAAGGCTTTCTCTTATTTTTTTTTTTGTCTTCCCCCCACAGGGACCCTACCCATTTGGACAGAGCTAGAATGACAAAGACCCCTCTCCCCCACGGTGAATGAAGAGCTTAGCACCCTGGGAGTCCTTAAACACAGAGGAGTTGGAGGGGGAGAGGAACAGTTGTTTTATATTGACTCATGACAACCCTCTTCCAAAAACAACCCGTGGCCCTTTCCACAGAAACACAGAGGACAGTGAGGCGATGGATTACATCAGCTGCCGTGAAACATCCCACCTGACATCAACACCTGGACTCGCATGTGTGAATGCTTCATTTAAGAGTGCTATAAACCTTTACGAATAGATACACCTGACTATTTTTTATTTACGTGGTAAAAACGTGCCTAGTTAAAGTGAAAGTCACCCTAAACAGTTTGGTATTCCCGTGGGCAGTTGAATGCTTTCTCTCTTTTGGGTTCCTACCCAGGTCTAGAAATATTTTTTTTTTTAAATATGTTAGAGTAGTACAGGAAATTCTAGTGGTCATTCATGTTGAAGTTTTACACAGTGTTTCAAAAAAGATGTTATCTTTTATTCACCATCCCCCTCAAAAAAACTGTAAAAAATCTAAATGTGCAGAAGTTTCAAACTCCTTTAGGTAAAACACAGAAGCAGAAAACTACACATAAGAAAGGAAAGAAAGAAAACATGCACAGGTCTTTGCCAGCTCTGGAAAATCATCACTTAAGTGCGTATAAAAATGTAAGCCTCAAAGTTGCATTCATGTATGAGAGAGATGGGAATCTTTCCCATCATCAACCAATTTTACATCACCAGACAACTGGTAGTAATGGATATGGTGATGCCATGTTTAAAATGTAACACTATGTCTAAAGTGCCCCTGTTATGCTCATTTACAGCCTGAATTGTTTTATATGAGTTCAGTGTTCAAAATAATGTTCAGATTTTTTGGCACGCTCACAGCTTTTTGAGGCCCCTTTATGAGAAGTGAGGGAACCGTCTGAAAGCTGTTGACTGCTAACAAAAGGTTTTTAAAACTGTTAGAAATACATTGTATCACTTCTGCCTTTTACTTTAACTCATCAGCACAGCTGTTGTCTTCTAGCTATGATAATGTTGATCGTTGCTGTTAAAACACAAGGATTTTTAGCCTTGTGAAAAATGGCTGATTAGTTCTGTACTGTGCTGTGTTTGTGTCACTATTACATGTATGAAATGTGTAAATGGGGACAGCTTTTTTTGGAGTTGGAATAATTCAGTTTGGCCTTTTTAACTCTGCAAACTATTTACGTGCGCAGAAGATATGTAACACACTGGAGGGAAGGAGAAAGCACAATAGGGGCACTTTAATTTTGGCTTTGGCAACATTGAATATCTGACTTTGGCTAAAGTGAGTCGTCCGTATTTGTTTGGTTAAAGCTCCAGAAATATGGGAGCTTTTAGAAAAATCACACATTTCCATTTGTAATTCAAATTTTAAGAAATTCACAAGCTGGAAACGTGAAATTCTCAAAACTCCAATATGACTCCAGCAGTTACTGCATTGCAGCAACACACTTTCCCCCCTGCTACGACTTGGCTTGTTAGACTGATTGCTCCACATACAGTCACTTTTTTCCCCTTTTCTTTGCAGTCCTTGATTTGAGTTTAGTACTCACCCTTGATAATTTGGAGATTTTATGTTCTGCTGTCATACAGATTTGCACTGTAAGATGGCTTGGATGCTTCCAATAGAAGCCGTTTTTTCTCGTTACTGCAGTTAACTTCAAACTAAGCAGGGTTGGACTTTGTGAATCCAGGATGCCATTCAATTCAAGTCAGACAACATGCATTTGACTTGTGTCGTCTGACAAAATATCTAAAGAAACAAGTCTTATTGTCCAAGTTTACATAGACTATTAAAAGCTAAGACTTCCTGCCCTTCTGCATATAAATATTTGTCATTCTTGTGTAGGAACCCAGTTTCTTCCAAAGACAAAATCCAGAGAGACCAGACACTAATGGGTGGCATCATCCACTGCATAGTCTGCAGGTGCATAATTGAAACTGCATGGGACAAGGGTGGAGTTTATTTTATTATTATTATTTTTGTTTTGTTTTGTTTAGGGTGGGTTTCGCTTTTAATGGAGGCTGAAGCGCAAATGGATGTGAGTAAGCTTGAATATGTGAGTTGTGAGGAAAGGTTGATAAAGCCATCTAAATCTATTTTGCCTGGTGAATGACTGTAGTATCTGAGTCCATGTCTATGTATGTGCCTGCCTGGTGCGTGTGTGCGTGTAAATGTTAATGGTTTCTCTTTGGATTGAACTGACATAAATGGTGTATACTACTTGGGGAAAGGATGACTTGACACATGCACATCATTACTGAGAGAGCTTTAATAAGTGTGTACCTCAGAAGTATTTTTGAGTGATTCTGCACCAAAAATTCACGCATCAAAAATGTCCCAGATGTTATTTATTTTGTCTTTTTGTCTGTGCTGCAAATTTAATAATTCCCATTCATAGCCAGCAGGTGGTGCTAAAAATCAGAAGACCAAACTACACCAGACTTGTCATGAGTGCTGAGTATACTGAATGAGGGGGGAAAGGTGATGAGTTGTAGTGTGAGCCTAGCAGATTGTCTGAAGAATGTAGATGTTTGTTATCAGCATTGTTAGCACTGAGGGTCAGTTGAGGTTTTCTTTGGCTTATTGTGGATCGTGACACCAGCATTCCCCCCTCCTCAAAATATTTTATTGATTTGTGTATTCCTCACAGCTTCAGGTTTTTGTTTTTATATATCCTGAAATGAAAGGTTTCAATGTTAAACACTAGTTTCATTCCTGCACCAGTGTCTGATGTTGAACGTGAAAGTTATTGTATGTTTGTTTGTTTTTCTCTTCTGATCACATGAATGAGTTTGTCTGCTGTTACACCTGAATTTCTACTTCAGCTTTGCTACCTTCATTATGTCCATGTTTTGTTTTTTTTTTTGTTTTTTTTTTCTGTGTATCTTTTTGGCCTAAAAATAAAATGGGTGGTCCATAGAACGCCATTATAGTGTTACCGTTTTTATAAGGAAGTGTTCAAACAGGATTATTAGAAACTTTTAATATTTTGATTTTAAAGTCCTTTAAACAACTTTTGATGGTTAATTATCAAGGGGATTGTTTCTTCTATTATAATGTTTGTTTATCTTTAAAATTCACCAGCATTCTGTGTTGCAGCTCTTCTCTGTTTGTATTGAGTCATCTGACAGTCCTCCTCCCAAACAGTATACACTGTTCTGCACTGCTTCGATTATTCACGTGTCTTTTCCTTCTTTTCGTGTGTGCGTGCATGTGTGCGTGCATGCGTGCGTGCGCTTCCTTCGTGTTGGCTTGCATGTGTGTGTGTGTGTGTGTGTGTGTGTGTGAGGAAGAGAAAAAATGGTTAGAAAATACTGCTGGATCCATTCTTTAGTTTTAGTTTGTGACTATGTTTGGACTTGAGATGGGTGGCAGAGTGAGTGGATGAGATGAAAGTTTACATAGTCCTAAGATAGCACATTTATCTGAAGAGAAATTGTCAAAATTAAGTTGGTTTTTTTTTCCTCCTGTAACTATAATTAAGCATTTGTATGATTAAATTAACACTGAAACAATGACTTCAGTGTTTGTTTGTTTTTCATGGGGTCAAAGTAAATGCCATCTTTGCATAAAACCACTCTATACTCCAGCTGCCGCTTTAACCTTAAGCTACACCCAACACAAACAGTATCATGTAATCGTTGAGCTACAGTTTCACATCCATCGACAGCACAAAAGATGCATTGTGTAGCCACAGTAACATCACGCAAAGTCCCACTTCAGATCTTCAAGATTAGTTTTAGCCGCAGCTTACTGTACTTGGATGAACGTGTGGAGTTTTAAGGTTTGTTAGCAAGCTGCATCCATTAACACAAAAAGTACAACACATAGACACATGTTCTTTAATTAATGCCAAGCTAATTATTAAATAGTAATAAAATTTCAACCACAAAACCAAAACCTCTTGGATGATGTGTGTCACACACAGAGCCACATTGTGTTTCATTAAAAAGGCACCATTAGCACGCACATGGTAAACAGGTGCAGATCAGTGATTTTAATTAACACCAGGGATGCGCAGCACCTACAGCTGCCAATGTCAGCACATCTGTCAGTCATCGTGGTTGAGCTGTCAGGCTTTGATGCCAGTGTGTTTTGGGGCCACACCTATCTTCAAGATAGTGTGTGTGCATGTATTGGCAGAGTTATTATGGTGTTCTATTTTTTTCATTGTTTTTTTTTCATTATTTTTAATTTTGACCTGTGCTGCCGTGTTATTTTTAGAGAGAAGGCAAAACTTCCAAACAAGCCATAATTGTTCAGGGGTTTTTTTCTCGTTGTACTGTCATGAACTCTAACAGTTAACATAACTGGAGTCTGCATGCAGCTCTTGGATCTTTTTGCATTTTCTCTAAATGCGCACGGTCTGATCTTGGGATAAATTTGCTGTGAATGTGACATTGTGTTATCATATATGTGAATGCTTAAGACATGCGAATTGCCAACATTGCTTTTATTTAAT